ATGTTGAAGATTCAAGAATACGTCACGTCAAAAAGTTGAGGAATCAAACCCTGATTTTTCCGTAAAATGATGATCCATCTTCTTATAATTTTACTCAAAATATTCACCAAACGTGGCAATATCCAGAAAACCAAAAGTTGTGGAGGCACCGTCCAATTTGTTAAATCCAAAACGCACCGAAAAAATTGAAAAGATAACAATCATGCTTCATGTACATTCTTATTGACAATGTGTCAATCGACTATGCAATCGAGGAAAAGATTATCTTCTTATAATTTTACTCAATATATTCACGAAACGTGGCAATATCCAGAAAACCAAAAGTTGTAGTGGCATTGTCCAATTTGCCAATCCAAGAAGCACTGAAAAATCGGAAAAAATAACAATCATGGCAATCATAAATAACAATCTTACCGACAATGAGTCAAGTTGACCACTTACGTTGGATGTCGGTCTCTGTCCCCCGCACCGTACATACATCCCACCATGTGCTCAGTGCTCCTTCTTAATGTACGGCCATAATTTTGTCTTATCTATATTCTCACATGTAATTACTGAATCCCTGGGTTCAGTTTGATTATACTCATAGCCCGGTCCGGTGCGCATTAAAATGAGAAAATGTATTTTTTTGAAGTGGTGTAATGAGAAATATATGATTGAAAAAGAAGAAAAATTTATTGATGTGATGGAAAATATTATTTTATTGAAAAACGTGTGATTGAAAATTAGTAGAAAAATGAAAATGAAAAAAATAATGTGGATCAAACATGGGTTTAATTATTATGATACTTGATTTTAATAACAAGAATAAGAAAAATTACTTTTTTATTTTTAACGATGACTCGTGGAATGTTCAATCATGGTAACATACATCAAACTCGTATTTAATTTAAGAACAATGCTAGAATTACATTAATTTTGACAGTCCTCTTACATACATTTGGTGGGGTCCACGATTAAAATAATCGTGGGCCCCACCCATGGGAGATGGCTGTCAAAATTGCTGTACAATTTTGACTATACATTAAGCGTTTTTGTTAATTTAAGGCCATGTTTGATTGCTTTTTCTTTTCCATGAAAGAAGGAAATTAAAATTCATTTCCACCTTTTTGTATGTTTGACTGACTAAATTTTCAATGGAATTGATTTTCCATATTTTCTTGATTTTTGACTTTTTTTTTTTTGCAATTGAAACAAATTCTATCCCCAATTGTAACAAAATTTATCTCTATAATGAACAATTTTCATGAGAAATAAAGCCAAACGAACACCAAAAGATTCAAAATTATATAAATCAAATACAATTAATTGACAATTCCCAATAAAATAAGTTTTAGACAATTCAATTCCTTGAAATTCATTTTCTTTCCATCCAAATTTCATTCTTACAATCAAACGGACCCTAATATGATTTATAATTCAGATTGCCCCCAGGACACATCTCCAAGTGCTAAAAGGGGAAGGTGGAAAAACACCAACATTGCTAGAGGCTGTAGCGTATAGGGTTCGAATCCTGAAATATACTAAACCGAGAACCCATTCACGTAGTATATAAGCAGCTTTCCACCCTATACCCTTGGAGGCATAACCTGCGATTTACCTCTTTCAACAAGGCCCAGGGCAGGGCAGATGGGGGACTTCGCGGATGCGGTTCATCCTTTATAATTCAGATTAATGAATCATTTAATTTAATTATAAATTAATAGGATGTTTGAGTTCCTTTCATCCTATTCAATTTAACATTTTTGGCCTATCAAAATATAAAGAAAATAGAAGTGATATTGAAACATATTTTTAAAGAACTCATTCAAGTCAATAATTAAACATTTGACGTTAAGTGTCGCGTTTAATTAAACTTTAAAATGTAAATTATTATAGATTATGAACTTTAAACTGCTACTAAACGATTTTTAACTTAAAAACTTGTTTAATCTAACACTTCATTTGCTTGTGTTTCCCTATCAATTCATTTTTGAAGTAGCAGTAATTTACAAGTAGACTTCTCATTCATTATTGAAATTCTTTCAAACCTTGTATTCTTGTCTGTATTTATATTTATACTATAACAGACAGGGATGTCAAGTTGTTTATTTATTTCGA